TGGGGCATGGCCCGATGGCCACGCAGCGTGGCAGGGCGTGAGCGGCGGCCATGGCGCCCTGCGGTGGTGAGCCACCGAGGATGAGGAGGACATGGCCTAGATTCAGCCCCCTGGCTTGGTCACCATGAGGAGGCGCGGTGAGGCGAGGTGATGGAAGCGGCCGCAGTGTGAAGCGCAGTGGGGCCAGAAAGGGAGCATGGGAGGGCAGCACTGGCAGGAGGGCTCCTCGGCTCTAGCGGGCTGGCGTGCTCGCGCGTGCGGTGAGGTGCTGCATGTAGAGGAGAGGAGACGAGGGAGCCGTGTGCGAGGAGCGGGGAGATGGCGTGCCGGACACGGCCGAAAAAGCTGGCCGACCACGGTGGGGCACTTTACTGCTGAGGGCACGGGAGAGGCAGCGGTTGAACAGCGCACTCGAGGTGCGCCTAGGCGGCACCGGCGCCTTGCTACCGAGGTGGAGTGCCGCCGGTGCTACGCGGAGGAACGGGAGCAGCAGCAGCAGCAGCTCGGAGGTGAGCTGGGGAATGAGCCGGCGACAGGCGGGAAGGGGAAGGCGGCCCTGCTGCACAGACGGCAATGACCTAGAACGGCCGTGGGGTGTCGCTGCGCAAGCGAGGAAGGACCGAGACCAGCAATGTGACCACGGCGGTTGCGATATAGAGAGGAAGAGCGAACGAAGGCAAAGAAAAGGCAGATGCGCGAGGGACAGCAAGGAGCCGAGAGCGGGCCAGGAAGGCAGAGCGGTCCGATCGACAGCGGCCACGATCACGTGGCTCGGTCGGTAAACAGAGAAGGACTTGGCTGGGCACAGGACAGCAGTGCACGGACGGTACGACTCAACCTGGCGGGACACGAAAGCAGACACGGCGCTGCGACCAGGACAATAGTGCGATGAGACAACGGAGGCAGAGCGGTAAGGCGTAGCATGGCCGACAGCGGTGCGCCAGCACGCGCGCAGGGAAGTGAGAGGACACGGCGTGGGCAGGGGGCAAAACCACGTGCACCTATTTCAGACGTCCGACATAGTGGACCATTTTAGATGCGGTTGGATGGGGAGGCTTTGTAAAGCAGAGCCACGACGGGAGGACGGTGCATAATTGCAATGCCAGGGGAGTACGCTGCATGCCGCGCCAGAAAAAGTAAATGAAGCTGCTGCGCTATCTCGTCTGTTACATGCTTTCACACGAATCAGGTTAAATTAATGAGGCGGCTAGACGGGCAGCTGTTGCGGTACGTTACCAATTCATCATAGGGACTAAAACGAGTCTATACGTAAAAACATAAACATGCCACTAGGCCAAAGCTTTTGAACCGAGCGTGCTTATCAAAATAAACACGTGAGTATATATATATAGAACTACTACCTTGTAGCTAGCTACAAAATAACTTATTTTGTAGCCACTTTGAGTTACGATAATTACTATGTTAATTTATGAGATTATAGTAACTCCTTACTAACTGGTTTACTATAATGTTATGATAAATATCCCCATGTGCTATAGTAACCCAACTATCGTAAATATGTATTGACATTATCATAAATTAGTATATAAAATTATCGTAAATGAAGGTGGCTACAGAATAACTTATTTTGTAGCTGGCTACTGAATATATATATTTCTATCGGTTTACTAATTTAGACAATTAGCAACATCTAGGTACTAGGAGATTTTCAACAAGCTCGAATTTAAATTAGATTCAATAGCTATATATATCGTTCTATTTATTAAAAGATTTTATTTTATTTATAAAAGTTGCTTTTCATGCTTAATCTAATAGAACAAACTGTTCGCTATATATTGAATAGAATTGTCGTTCGACATTCCTAAATCTCTTTACACACTGAGTAATTTAACTTGGGCGTTTATTTGAGTCCACAAAACTAAGTCACACGGGATTCACTTATCACATCAAGTACGTTTTAAATCTAAAATCCGAGAAACTTGTTTCGAAAATTTTTCTTAGGCCTAAATCTCGGTACTAAACGAGCTCATAACACCAGAGGCGTTACAGGAACATTCTGAGCACGATATGTACAAGCATGTTTACTGCTATGGCATTGTGGACCATAGACTCAGTCTTATGCACCCATAGCATGATCCTGCACGAACTTCCTCCTCACTGCGCGTTCACATGACTACTTCAAAATCACACCCACTAGACGGTAAAACGCTTTCCATCTCCCTAGCCCTGTTTCTCTGTAAGTATTGTCTACATAAACCATGGTTACTATTCATGCTACTCAATATTTCTCAAGATTGATCAACCATTTATGTTTCTAAATAAATTTATTATGAAAATATATTATGTGATTCATTTAATGGTAACTACCTTGTACATTTATGTTTCCAAATAAATATATTATGAACATATATCATATGATTAAATAGATGGTAACTACATCGTATTATAAATGTTAGTAGTCTTTCATGTATGTTTGCTCATAGTTCAAAGCATTTGACATTTTAATAAATTGAGAGTAGCATTGATTATGGGGCACCGAGAGTTTTGTGTGTTCGCATGTTTGGTGACTAAACATTCGTGGAAAAAGGTGTGTAGCTATTGGTTTTGGTATTAACAGTACAAAGTAACAAGTTTAACCATAGACCAACCAACCACGATCGACGAATGGTTGTCGAACTCATTATGCCCATGGTAGGACAGTCCGGGCCACCTTATGAATGACAAGGTCGGACTATATTAGTGTTGTCCGGCCAGCCCTATGTCTTGCACATGAAACATCAAGAGCCAAAGGACACTCATGGCCACTAGAGTGTACAATTTGTGTGTCTATAGATCTTATAGAAATAGGAATACCACCCAAGGCACTATGGTGTGCCCCGCAACCTTATCGATTTTGTTGTTACTAGCACAAGACTTCATGTTAGGGGCGAACATTTCGTGCATGATTGTACAAGTACACACACAGCTATGGCATTGTGGCTATAGAATTAGTCTTATGCACCCATAGCATGATTCTACACCAACCATGAAATATCAAGAGACAAGGGACAGTCGCTGCCACTAGATTGGACATAACTCTGAGATTACTCTGGGTACAAGGACTAACACTGAGATTAGACTTAGTACAACTGCAAGCAAGTTTGTTTTGTTGGCTGCATCCAAATAGTTGTAGTTACCTCCTGCATGAAGTGGTAAGCATAGCACCACCAAGTCTAGTACCAAGAGTTGTACTTACAAGCAAGGCTAATAACTAACATTACATTAACTTCCAAATTATCCAAACTAAAAAAGAAATGACTAAATCTTGAGCTAAGATAATGACATGCAGGACATCAAATGCACTCTGCCTCATCTTCTTATCAGTGCTGCAGGCTCAAGTGGTGGTGGTGGTGCTGACAACATCCCTCGACGACAATAGAAGGTTGCATAAGCTTCTTGTTTCGACTTGTAATTTTGTGGCAAGCTCTCTTGAACTGATCCACTTCAGCATGTGCATCATGCCGGTTGGAGTAGACACCAGTGGTCCCACCAGGATGCACAACATACCACATCATAGCTTGCTAAGCTATCAAATATATTAGATTAGGTTAGAAAGAAAAATTCAAAGTTATTTGTTAGCTGTAGATAAAAATAAGTAGCAAGAAACACATCACTAGCAAAGAGACATATATGTGCTCACTTCATTGGTTAATTAATGAACTAGTTTGCAGCAATAAATTCACCCATTTAATTATGAAAAATGATTTAAAGTAACACATATTGTTACTCCAAATTCACCCATTTAAAACAATTTAAAGAATATATCGATACAATTATGCAAAATAATAAAAAAGAAAACTCCTAAAATTTTGTTTAATTACCGGACTCCATTATTATTTAAATAATCTCTAAACCTGCATCTACATATATTATTATACAAGAAATATTATTGTATGAGACAATGGTGACTGACGACGAGCGTGAAGGCCAACAGGGACGACATGTCCTTATCCACTAGCGAACGGGGGCAAATTCGTCCAAAGGGTGCTAAAGTTTTCAAAACGGAGCATAGGACTGTCCGGCTGAGTAAAATGTCAACAGGCCGGACAAGGAGAGCAGCGGTATTTTTTAGTGTAACTTGGTAGGTCGGTTTGGCCATCTAAACTTTGAACGCGATGGACAAAAGTCCTCGGCCGCCCCTGCTATGTATTTTCAGGGGCGGTTGCTTACGTCAGCCGCCCTTGAAAATGATCTTCAGCGGCGGTTGCTTATGTCAGCTGCCTCCGAAGATCATCTTCAGTGGTAGCTGATTTAAGAAAACCGCCGTTGAAGATCCTTGCCCTTTATAGCGCAACGCCGAAAATTTTCTAAGTCACCGGGCGGGCCAGAATTCAATAGTGTAGCGAAGCACTGCCAAAATTTTTCACGCGTGCCTTTTCGCCTACTCCGTCCAACGCTGCCGCTGTCAAAGTTCCCTGGCCGTCCGGCGCTCCTCGGCACTCCCCCATTCGGCGCTCCCCCGGCGCTACCCCCGGTGCTCCCCCGATAGAGGTCCCCAGCACCGGAGGTCCCCAGCGCTTCCCCAGCACTACCGGCTCCCGCCTCATCGGCGAACCTATCGCTGAAGGTCCCCGATGGTCCCTCGGCGGTTCCCCGGCGCTCCCCTGGTGCTCCCCAGGCGCTCCCCCAGCTTCTTCCCTACGCCGGCGCTCCCTCGGCCCGTCGTCTACCCGGCGCTCCCCATCTTCCACTCTGGCCACCTGTTCATCTACCAAAGGTTGATTCTTTTTAATCTTCTCTGTATTAGACAAGAAATGTAACATAACATTTGATGTTTAGATACTAGTGTTATATGCATGAGTAGCGGAAATATAAATGAAGCAAAGGAATGCACTAAGTATTTAAAATTTACAGTTTTTATTGCATGTGTATTAGCCATGTGTTGATTTTGAGATATGTAATCATATTCATATGAGAATGATAATCTTGTTTCTAAATATTTATAACAATAATACGCCTTTCCGTCATGACTGAGATAAATTCATCCACATTCGTTAGCAATGGATAAAGAAACGACAACAAACGAAGCAGATAAGTTGGAGTGGTTGTCGGACAACGACGGCAACGACACGTCGTCAACCTCATTGGAAGAAGCTTCGGATCCTAGTCCTAGGCCTGACCGTAGGGCTTTGAGGCCCGAACTTGAGGACCCAGAATACGATCTGACCGAGGATGTAAGCCTATACTTGCTATCAGTTGACCACATTTATTTTTCACATAAGTGTGTGAGCATTTTCCTTATTTTTTTTATATCTATATGTGCATGTGTCTACCCATATGCCTAGTCAAACCATAGAGCAATCACAGACATAGACAAAGAATGCTAAACAAGTTCCCTAAAGGACAGACTATTATTGTAGAAGTGGTTAGCCCTATCGACGAGCCCATACAACCTGATGGCGTACGCTCCCACTTTGCAAGTGCGATAGGAGCGGTGGTCCGGGACATTTTGGATTGCTCAATACAGCATTGGAACAATGTGCCCGATAGTGACAAGACCAAGATATGGAAGAAGATGGGATGAGGGCGTTTAGTTTCCCTCCTGATTCGGAAAAGCTCATCAAGAAATTGGCAATGAAACAAGCGGCAAAAAATTTCCGAGGTTGGAGGTCCCAACTAAATACTAGTTTTTGACTGAAGGGTCGTACGCCGTTCAAGGAGTTCGGGAAGATCAAACCTGATCAATGGCAAAGGTTTTGTGAACAGAAGTCCACACCTAAGGCCTTAGCCTTGAGTGTCTTGAACAGTGAGCTCACGAAGAAGAACATTCACCCTCACCATCTCGGCTTAGCTAGATATGGCTCGAAGGTTGAAAAGTGGAGAGCAGAGGCTAAGGCTGCTAGGCAAGCTGGTGTGCCATATAAATATGAGAACTTTGATGAACGCGTAGAGCACTGGGTTAGAGCTAGGGAAGTTAAGGACAAAGAAACTGGGCAACTAGTAATCCTTGATGCACGTACTAAAGCAGCCACGGTGGCCATAAAGGCACTTGCTCAGAAGAAAATGCAAGGCGAATTTAAACCCAAACGGGAGGTGGATGAGCTTAGTGTCACCCTAGGCAACAAGGAACACCCTGGCCGTGTGCGGGGCGTCTCCTCCAAGTTGGGACTTAAGCATGGTTTTCCATAGGAGGCGAGTAGCTATAGAACAAGGCAACGCTACAAGGATGACCTTTTTGGCACCCTTTGCAAGACGACCGACGCATATATTGATGAAAAAATTAATCAGTTGAAAGCTTCACAAGGTTTGTCTACCGTGGAGCCAACATCATCTCTAGTGCCAGTGCCAAGTAGTGTTGCATCAATCACGCTTGAGACTTTTCCTGTGGACACCATTGATAGGCCTACACCATGTGCTATGCACATTCCATACAACAGGAAGGGGAAGACGGTAAATGTTGCCGGTGAATCGCTTATCCAGATGCACTATGCACAGCAATGTACTTCCGGATGATTACGCCGGGTTAAAGTGCTCTCAGTTTCTCCGAATCATCTTGATTATAAAGTTGGGATCCCTTCTCCTAATGGTGAGATGGTCTTGGGAAACCTTGTAGGCTATTTCATTGCTTAGAAATGACAAGACATTGTGTTGTTAACCACCCCATCGGGTGCACCTTTTGCTTTGCGTCAGCTACAATTGCCTCAGGTAGAGGAACAAGCAGAAATAAGCCCCACGGGCGAAGCATATGCGCAGTTATCACCGACATATGAGCAGCAGATGATGGATCCATTCATGGATGTTTCAGTAGTCCAGGCAAACCCCAATCTCAGATCTTCTTTGGAGAATTCATGGAAGATATCATCATAGGAAGGAGAGAACCTGAGTTTGAGAAAACATGCAATGAAGAGGCACATCAGGACCAGACTCAACAAGGAACACAACAAGTGTTAGGGGGCAGCACTCCGCCATCCCTGCCACCGCTACCCCCACCCCTATCAGAACCACTTCCATAGGGAGGAACTGTTGTGACTGCACCGCCACCACCCCCGCCACTACCACCCCAACCGGCACTACTTCCGCAGGTACAAACTACTGTGCCAGCACCGCCACCGCCACCGAGCTCCCAACCTCCTTCGCAGCTACAAACGGTTGCGCACCCACAGCCACAAACAGCGATGCCACCACCTCCACCGCCACCACAGCTACAAATGTTTCCTAAGATGGTGAGAGAATTTGAGATGGGTAGCAACCCACCCTATGCTAGCATATCTGCGATGTGGAGGTCTCTTGGCAAAAAGAAACCCCAGGACGCTTCTGCAATCAAGGGCAAGGTGGTGCCTTTGTCAGCTAGAAATGCCAAGGCCAGCATGGCTAAGGAAGGATCTAGAACAATCTTTGGTGGCCAACACCATTCGAGCCAAACCCTGGCGAGCGTTGAATTTGTTAAAGACATGATGGAACAAATCAGTCCCGACTGCTCCTATGAATACGTGCTAGGCAAGGAATTCCTACCTGATTTTGCCCTAGAATGCAACAAGAGATTGTAACACATGAGGGTCTTTCAGATGTGGTATTTGGAAGCGGTAGAACTTGGCTTAGAGCCAGTGCCGGTGAATTACCCTACTAACAATATATTCACTACCGGTGTAGAATTTTCAAAATTGACCATATCTTTTGAGGACATTCAATTTTTATACCGACAGAAGAGACTCGATGTAAGTCATATTACCCTATGGTGCATGTAAGTAGTGTTTTCTTAAACTCATCCTCAATTTTGGTTTTATGTGCTTGTGAGATCTTTTTAACCACACATTTGCCTTACTTTCATGTAGGAAAGAGTGGATGGATTCGGCTAAGTTGAACTTGAGGAACGCATACCTTGACCCAAATCTCATTTGCGAGGCACGTCACGTTGGACCTCTATTGTGGCAAAATGATCATCCTACATTTAAGGGTGCCAAGGGCAAGGCGAGAGAGGCAATTAGGAAGGCTTCGTATAGGGAAGCAAGGAATGAAGCTGCATTATATATCGGGAAGGCGTTCATAGCTCATCAGAGATTCCAATATATAGAAGCCCCGTACAATTTGGTGTGCTCAGAGGACATAAGGGTTTATACTGGTTCGGGCGGAATGTCCCTACGTCCAGTTCGTTGCTACTCGTGTTATCGGCACTTGGTTTGCAGTAGGGGTTACAAACAGGCGAGAGAGGGAGAGGATCCCATGTCTCTGGTGGAAGGAGTGAATGGGTGTTGAGAGCTCGCTTGCCACTCAGCCGTGTGCTCGTGTCGTGCTCTTTTTGTCCCGATCTCCCGTGTCCCGATCCCCCCATCACGGGGCGCCCTGCTTCCCCTTTTATAGGCGAAGAAAAAATGCGGGTTAAAGAGGAGGAAAAGGAGAAGAACGAGAGAGAGAAGAAGGCTTGCAGGGTTGTCGGGTCCTTCTTCTCCTTCATGCAGGTCCCGCCGATCCTGTAGATGTCAACAGGGATGGCTCCATGTCGTGGCCCTATTCATCACTGGCACCATGCGCAGGCGTCATCTGCCGGTCATGGCGTTCCACTCCATCCCGCCGGACGTCGTGGTGAACTGACGCGTCTGTCAGCGTCCGTACGAGGATTAGACAGAACAGCACCGGCATGCCCGACACTGTTCTTGATGTGAATCCCCAAGTATGGCCCGTCATGACCACGGGTTACATCGAGGCGTGCCAGCCTCTTCCCTGGCATCAGAGTTTTGACCTAAGCCCATACGCTTGGACCTGGAGTGGTTGGTGACGGTATGGGTCCCGGTCGGACGAGACGGAACCCGCGTCCTCGAGGTCGGGCGAGCCAGAGCCCACGACCTTGGGTGAGACGGGGCCCGCACCTAAGGGATCGAGCGGGACGGAGCCCATGGCCTTGGGCGAGACGGAACCCACGTCCTTGGGGTCGGGCGAGACCTTTTAATTCGTCTCAAGCCATCCGGGGAAGTCAGCGTGGGCGCTAACTTTCTTACTTTGGGTATCCCTAATATTGATACCCGACAGTTACATTGCAGCAGCCGCCCCTGGTAATGCATTTTCAAGGGCGGTTCATGTATTGGAACCGCCGCTGAAAAAAAATTAGAGGCGGTTTGCCTACTGCAACCGCCCCTAAAAATACATTTTCAGAGGCGGTTCTCTTAATTGAACCGCTCCTGAAAATACCATTTTCAGAGGCGGAGATCCTAACAGAACCGTCCCTAGAAATGTATTTTCAGGGGTTGTTAAAAGCCCGTCGCTAGAGACACCCCATCTTCACTGACGATGGCATTGCAGCGGTTGGGCTGACCGTCCTGAAAAACGTATTTTACCCGCCTCCTAAGATGTTTTCTGATAACCGAACACTAAACCGAGAAAAAAAAACCCAAAGTTGTCGGTTTTTGATACTCTACAACAGCGATCGTGTTGGTTTTCCAAAACCGAAGTTCTCGTACTCGGGGAAAAAAACGAGTCGAAAAACCCGATTGTCCAGCCCTATATCCCCGGCGTCTGCATCGGCGTAGGTCCACCATAGAATCTTGAATCTGATACAGTTTGAAACTTTGCTTATCAATGTCTTGTCATCTAGAACTCCAAATCCCAGGATTATCGTCGCTTTGCCCCATGTGAATGCACGGCGTGACAGTTCTCGACGAGAACAAATGCACTGCTACGGTTCAGTTCCTTTCGGTTTGGCTTCCGTGATACTGAACCGCGCTCACAGTCGTCGTCTCTACGTACATAATATAATGATATATGATATATGCGTCGTACATGCACAACGGGACGACGACCGCGCGGCATTGGCGCTGTACGTCGCCGTCTAGGTCGCATCGCATTGCACGGGCAGCAGCAAGCTAGCAGCGTACTAGTAGATCACGACGTGATGCTGCAGTGGTCCGACGGCAAACTGCAGACTGCACAGTGAGTCCGAGGTTGTGTTTTCATGTGCCGGCAGCCCGGCACCCGATGGGAAGCTCGGCTACAGGGCGGGTGAAAGGAACCAGGAACCTCACCTCGCTCACCTGGTGTGGACGGAGTAATTTACTAATTTGCTTGCAACTTACAAGTCCAAGCACCGAAAAAACTGCACGGCGCTGCAGCCTGGATCCAGACCGACGGACGGGGACGTAGACGTAGTTCCCAAGAGGGGGGGGAGATGCAATGCGCCCCATGATTGGCTGGGAACGGCATATGATCGATATCCGGTTTGTCTATACTGTTCTTGTGCTAAGCACATGCGTAGCGCTTGATTCCATATTTCCACTGGCGCTCAGCCTCTGACCACGGCACCGGAATCCGGAGTCCGGACCAAGGTATGCGGACTCCGGGATCCCTTCAAATCTGCAACACCGTCAGAATATGGATATGCGTAAATGTCCGGCTGCAGGTTTTCGAGTCAAGAAGACTGTAGGAGTGCCAAGTGCGTGTGAATCTAGCAGCTGTGGCACAGAATATTGAAGTTAAGTTGACGAAACTCTTCAACCCACGTTTACTGCACCCAAGGGGTCGGTTAAGACGAAGCCCGCGGCCTCGATGTTGGGCGAGACAGAGCCCGCGGTCTCGGGGTCAGGCGAGACGGAGCCCGCGGCCTTGGGCGAGACGGAACCCACATCCTTAAGGGTCGGGCGAGACGGAGCCCGCGGCCTCAGGTCGGGCGAGACGGAGCCCGCGGCCTTTGAGTCGGGCGAGACCCTTTAGTACGTCTTGAGCCATCCGGCGAAGTCAGCGTGCGCGCTAACTTCCTTACTTTGGGTATCCCTAATATCAATACCTAACAGTAACCACCGAGCCTGCGGAGGAGTAGAATACTCCATTAGAGGCTTTTTCAGACGGGGGATTCTGAGGGCCTTGGCCTTCTTTTTTAGCCCGCGGCGTGTTCTGTTAGTACGGCGATTCCTTTTTGTCATAATCGGTCTTCTTGGGGCATGTAACCATTGGATTCGGGAGATCGGAAAGATTTTTCTTGATTTCGGTCCCTGAGGATCCGATCGGTCCGCCGTCGTACTACGACCGCATGTTTGGTCTTCTTACGAGTCCAACTTCCCTCGAGCCCTCACACGTAGTAGGGGCCCAGTCGAGGGTCGGCTCGTCTTTGTGATCGTCACCCCTCAAGCGTTTTTTTGATAAAACAGGGGTCAGCCGTGCCACCTTTTTCTCGATGGATGAATCAAGGTGCTCGGTGAGCTGTTAACGGGCTAGTCCGAGTGGGGCCTCAGCTTCCCGTTCGTGGGGGTCCGGCATGGGTCAGCTGGTGACCGACTCCATATTCTTGGTGGCCAATCCATATAGTTCTTGGATCTGTTCGACCGGTTGGACTCGTTGCCTTTCTTCGAGGAAAAACCATAGACTAGGAATCGACCAAGACTCGAACGTGGGCTGGGATGCCTGCGTCGCTCGTGCGCCTAGGTACTGGCCACTAGTGGACCCATCCATTTCCACCCCTCACTCTAAGGGCTCCCCGGAGCGGCTATGAACCCATCGGAGGGCCGGCCTTCGAACTCCTGGGTCTGAATGGGCCGTAGGAGCGTTTTCAGCTCCGTATACCTCCTTACCTGTGACGGTTCTTACGCCTATCTACGCCGATGCTGAGCTAGACGACATCGAGAAGGAGATGGCCCCTCTGGCACAGGACTTACCTGTCGAGATAGAGAATGAGATCATCCCCTAAGAAATTAGTTAGGTAGATAAGTCAGGCGGCGAACTTATAATAAGTGGACAAGCTCTTAAATTTCGTTATGGCCAAACAGATTTTTAGCTCTTCTCCCCTTTTTATATAAAAAAGGTTAATATGTTCCGATCCTTTTCGTCATTAAGGCTATAAAGCTCGAGGTACGGGTGAAAAAACTCTAATCACCCTGGTGAGCAAAAATGTCATAACCGCTGGGGCGTAGGTTTCTTGTAGTCCGACCAGTTTTACTCAGGGTTCGTTTCCGCAACCCTTGCTTCTAGATCTTAACGTGAGAAAGGGTCGGGCATAGAGAATGTCTACCGGATAGATATACTCTTTAATGCGTTTCGACTCTTTCCATAGTTAAGACTAAAAAGCTCGGGTGTGGGCAAAAAACTCTGATCACGCTGGTAAGCAAAAACACCGTAGCCGCTGAGGCATAGGTTTCTTGTGGTCCGATCAGTTTTACTCAGGGTCTGTTTCCGCAACCTTTGCTTCTAGCTCTTAACGTGAGAAAGGCTCGGGCATAGAGAATGTCTACCGGATAGATATACTCTTTAAAGTGTTCCGACTCTTTCCGTAGTTAAGGCTAAAAAGCTCAGGGTGCTGGCAAAAAACTCTGATCGCGCTGGTGGGTAAAAACATCATAGCCGCTGGGGCGTAGGTTTCTTGCGGTCCGACCAGTTTTACTCAGCGTTTGTTTCTGCAATCCTTGCTTCTAGATCTTAACGTGAGAAAGGGTCGGGTATAGAGAATGTTTACTAGATAGATATGCTCCTATCAGCCCCTTGAGTGAGGCCCGACCCTTTGCCGTTGCTGCGGTCGAGTGTCACTAAAGATCGAGGGGTCGATAACGAAATCGATAAGAGAAAGCGTGCG